CAGTCAACAAATACATGAAAAATGTTCATCATCACTAGCAATTAGAGAAATGCAAATCAAAACCAATCTAAGATTTCATCTCACTCCAGTTATAATGGCAGCTATTATGCATACAAACAACAATAAGTGTTGGTGAGGATGTGGGGAAAAAGGTACACTCATATACTGCTGGTGGGACGCAAATTGGTACAGCCAATATGGAAAGCAGTATGGAGATTTTTTGGAAAATTGGGAATGGAACCACCATTTGACTAGGCTCCCTCTCTTTGGTCTATACCCAAAGGACTTAAAATCAGCATATTACAGGGACACACCCACATCAATGTTTAGCAGCACAACTCACAATAGCTAAACTATGGAACCAACTTAGATGCCCTTCAATAGATGAACGGATATATATACACAATTGGATATTACTCAGCAATAAAAGAGAATAAAATCATGGCATTTGCAGGTAAATGGGTGGAGTTAGAGAAGATAATGCTAAGTGAAGTTAGTCAATCCCAAAAAACCAAATGCTGAATGTTTTCTTTGATATCAGGAGGTTGATTCATAGTGGGATAGGGAGCGGGAGCATGGGAGGAATAGACGAACTCTAGATTGAGCAGAGGGGTTGGAGGGGAAGGAGGGGACATGGGGTAATTAATGATCATTACTATCCAAAGTACATGTATGAAGACACGAATTGGTGTGAATATACTATGTATACAACCAGAAATATGAAAAATTGTGCTCTATATATGTAATAAGAACTATAATGCATTCTGCTGTCATATATAAATAAAAAATTTACATATAAAAAAGAATTAGTAGTTCCATTTAATAGTTAAGGAAACATACTTTTGAATAAAACACTTGCTCAAGATCACATGGCTAAGTGGTGGAATGGGAATCCAAAACCTATATTCATTCTTCCTTATTTCTCAAGAGGAGAGGCAGACAAACTGCTGTTAGGTGAATTCTCTCTTGGGGTGAGAGTTATTGTAAGGGGAACTGAATTAGGTTAGCCTATACTGCTAGTTAAATCTAAACCCCAAGAGCCTTCTGGTTCTCAAAATTCAGTGTACAGGAAACTGGAAAACACTTTTACTACAAAATACCTAAAAATGCTGTCAGGCATGGGGAGACCTAACAAATATTCTTTTCAATGCTCTGCTGAGCTTACCAGAAAGTAAGAAAAATTTTACTTTTGGTAGGCCAAAAATGAAGGAAGAAAAATGATGGTATTAAATGTTTATACTGACCCTATCCCTATAGTTTCCTTAGGGGTTTTGCCAGTCTTACTTTTCAAGAATCGTGTCTTTTTATATATAAAAATACACACACACACACATACACACACACATGCTTAGGGCCCATTCAAGACAGGGAAATGTACCTGCATGCCACATAAAAACCAGAGAATGCCTCTGAAGTGTTTACCCCAAGTGAGAAAATGATTGCATTGATAAGTAAGAGTCTCTGCTAGACCATGTGTAGGGATGGGAATGCAGTCATCTCCTCTGATTAACAGAGCCTTTACCCTTGTTGTCCCAGGTTCACATAAATTCCCTATGTTGTTTAGGAATTCTACAGTTGTATGGATATTTCTGGATGCCTAGAAGAAGCAAATCTAAAATCTATCTAGAGGGTTTGATGTCACCAAAATCCCAGAAGTGAAATACCACTGAAGATAAGCACTTAATCTCAAATTAGCCCTGAAAAGCTTTCAAAACAAATCTGCCATGAGGGGGAATCATTAAACAGAACAAACAGTAACATAACCCGAAGGACTTTCAACCAATAGAAATGTCACCTAGAGATTATAACTTAAGTATTTGAAAATAACTGAAGAACTAAAAGAAGGAATAAAAAAGTGAGAAAAAGCATAAAACACAATTTTTAAAAGACAGATTTGGAAGAAAAAGACCAAATGAAACATCTAAAGATGATACTTAAAGAAAAATTAATAGGTATATATGTAACTTAAACACATACACCTGAAGAATTACCTGGAAAACATGTTGAAGACTTTCCCTAGATTGTAGCACACAGAGAAAAAAAGATGGAAACATGAAAGGTAAAAAGCAAGAATACTTAACCACGGGCAAATTATCACCTATTTAAGACTGATGAACTGTAAATGAATGTACCCTAGAAAGTAATATAAACAAAATATTAATGTTCTTTTATTTACAACAGAAATTCAATAAATCAACTTTTGAATCACACAAACAAAAAAAGCAAGAATACTATTAGAAGGACTGACAGATGCTGAACATGAAATCCAGGAAGATTAATTAGAAAGGATAGAAACAGATAATATTAAAAAATATAATAACTGAGAGTTTGCCAGAGCATGTAATAAAAACATATATAGCTTAACACATCATAACTCTAGGAAACTAAAAGTCGACAGAGAAGATCTGAGAAAGTAATTAAACAGAATGTCTTCAAAGTGATCAGCTGACATGTTTCCTGACAGCAGCAGTATAAGCCAGAAGGAAATGGGATAATATTTTCAAAGTACTGAGAGAAAGTAGTCATCCACCTAGAATTCTATGTCATTGTAGAATGAAAGTAAAAATCAGATTTATCAAATAAACCAAAGGAAGTTGATGTAACACCTGAATGAACAACTTAAGATTTTATTTCAGAAAGAAGGTGATTTAACCATAAAGTAAGAATGAGATGGAAGAAATAATGGTGAGGAAATATATTGTTTGCTTGTCACTTACTGTATAAAGCAATTATAATGACAAAAGGAAATACTCGGCAGTATAATAAAGTAGAACTAAATTGTCTACACTATACAACTTAGGAGTAGTTGAGGTATTCTAATGTTCTTTTATTGTTTCAGACTATAAATAAAAGATGAGTTTTAGTCTTTGTTATTCAACTATATAATTAAAATCTTACAGGGATCCATGAAAAGATTATAAATAGACTTAAATTTCTAAATCAATGGAGGGTAGGAAGGGTATGAAAACTTAGGTGATGAAAAAAGAAGTAAAAGTGCCTTGGAAAATCAAGTTAAATAGAAACATAGACAATAAAATAACTGTAATAAATTCAGCTGGGAAAAAAAATAATAATAAAAAATAAATAAATAAATAAAACATGACTATGGAAAAATCTTGTAAAAAAAAAAAAATTCAGCTGGGCATAGTAGCACACACCTGTAGTCCCAGATAGCTACTTGGGTGGCTGAGGCAGGAGGACCACTGGAGCCCATGAGTTCAAGACATGGTGCCTAGGAAACAGACCCCCACCACCACAAAAAATTAAAATATTTCAAAAATCCCAGTTATCATAAGAAATGAAGCTAAACTTATCAGTTTAATCATATAGAAATTAACCCTTTTAAATTCTATATGCTATTTACTATGGATGTTGCTTAAACATAATGACATAAAACTGTTAAAAGTAAAAGACTAACAAACAACATTCTAGGTAAACTTTTATCAAAATAAAGCTGGTATAAACTATACCGAAATCAAAGGAGACTCTGATGCTAAAAAGCATTTAAAGCTTACCACTTAATCATTAAAAAGTACATTTTGTCAAGAATATTAAAGCATTTATAAGCATCTATAGTCCTGAAAGACATAGCCTCAAGATTTATAAAAATTTGACAATTGCATGACAAGATTGGAAAATTCAAAACCACTAAGGAGTGTCTGAATGCACTTCTCTCAATAATGGATAAATAATGTAGATAAAAATTAATATATCATGCAGTATGAAATTAGTTGATGGCTTTTTAAAAACCAGTTCATTTCTACCTAACAGCAACAAATGGCTTGAGAATAATTTTTTAAAAACCATTTATGATAACAATAGAATCACAATATGCCTAGAAAAGATGTTAGTAAGAAATCACAGGATATTTATAGAGGAAATTTAAAGTCTTTATTGAAGAAGTCTTAACAAATTGAAAGGACTGTCATGTTCATAGATGAGAACGCTCAATATCATACATAACAAAGGTTATTTCTTCCCAAATTAATATATAAACTCATTGAAGTCAAAATCTTAATGGAGTTTTCTGTGGGACATGACAAGCTGATAAAATTCATTGAAAGGTGAAGGAGAAAGAGCAGCCAAGACAATATTAAAGAATCACAAAGTAGGGGGACATTTCCTACCAGCTACTCGTTTTATAGGACTATGTTGTTGGTACAGGATGAAACAATAAGATATAGGGCAAGAACAGAGTGTACAACATTTTTTTTGAAACTTGATCCATGTGACTACAGATCAGCATCTAAGATTTTACACACTGCTGGTGAGTGTGTACAGTGTTGCAAACACTTTGGAGTACAATTTAGCAATATTTAATAAAGCAGAAGATGTATATGTCTATCCTATATCTCAGCAATTCTACTCCTAGGTATATATTCTGAAGAAACCCTACCACATGTATACAAAGGAACAGTGCAAGAATATTATTAAAACACTTTTGAAATAGTAAGCAAATAGAAACAACCTTAAATGTCCATTTAAAGAGAATGAATAAAGTGTGATACATACATATTACAGAATGCTAGTAGCAGTTAAAACGACTGGAGCTAAATTTTTCAACATGGGTAAACTTCATAAATGATGTTGAACAAACAGGCAAGTTGTAGAATGATGTGATCAGTACAGTATCATTTGTGTAAAACCTTAAAATGTGCAGATAGATATGTACACATATAGTAAAGTATAAAAACAGGCATGGGTAATTGTTAACCTCTGTGGTAGGTGAAATAAGAATGGGTCAAGGAAGGGAACAAAGGGAGATTCAGCTTTACCTGTGACCTTTTATTTTAAAAGAACTGAATCAAAGATGTCAAAATATTAGAATTAATAAAGTAATATTTTGGTGTACTTTGAAATCCATTTAAAATAAAGACTAAATCTCCTTGGTAAATCTTGCATAGCAGTCATGTTTTAATCATCCAGATGAGACAACAGTCTATTGATGTATCCAGTCCTTTTCTTTGTGTCTAGGTCTGATTATTTCTGTTTCCATCTAGGAGCCACCATCACCTTCCCACAACTTCTTCAAAATGGGAATGAAGCTGGAAGCTGTAGACAGGAAGAATCCTCATTTCATTTGTCCAGCCACTATAGGGGAGGTTCGGGGCTCAGAGGTGCTTGTCACTTTTGATGGGTGGCGAGGAGCCTTTGATTACTGGTGCCGCTTCGACTCCCGGGACATCTTTCCTGTGGGCTGGTGTTCTTTGACTGGAGACAACCTACAGCCTCCTGGCACCAAAGGTAAAGGCTCTTGAAACCAGGATGCAGATGATGAGGGAGATTACCTATCTCTGTCACAGTCAGTCTGTTCTCACCAGAACACTTCACTAATAGGCAGGGGAGGAAGAGGACCAGCAGCTTAGGTACATACCAAGGCGTTCAGAGAATAGCCATTAACAGTAAAGAATTAAGTGTCAAATGAAGCCAGACATGGTTTTGGGATGAAGTACAAATTCCTCCCTGTAAGTATCCTGATTTATTATCAGGGAAGTAACTTCTCGTTTATCTTACTTTTGCCTCTAACCCCTTTCAAAGTATAGGTAGTAACATTCTCAAGGCAAATGTCGTTCTCAAGGCAAATAAAATTCTCAAGGCAAATAATGAGCTAGGGTAACACTGTGTTGTAAAAAATATTTCAGAATTGTTACAGCAAGATGGGATCCATCTCCACCATACAAGCTCTGTGGCTTTGAACAGTTAATTCACCTCTCTAAACTTCTGATTCCACATCTTTAAAAGAATACCTACTTCATAAAGTTATTATGAGGAATAAATGAAATTACATCTGGCAAATAGAAGGGGCTAAAATAAATTGTTATTGTATTAATGCTGCTATTATTATAGTTATGCTATATTTGTTACAATTACTACATAATGTTATATTATTATTATTATACTATTATAAAATTAACCACTAATGGAGAAATATTATAATAGTGCCACAGACTAAATGAATCATAAATTATACTTTTAATGATGATGATGATGATGATGATGATTGTTGATGATGATGGTCATAATGATAGAGATCATCCAGGATAGATTTAGAGATGGCTGCTTTTAATAAGGAAAATAATAATACTTCCATCCTCTTAAGTCTAAAGTGTACTGGTAAACCTGAGGAAAGAAAAATTCACTCTTCCTATTGTCTCACAGTCTCTTTTCTAAACTTCTGTTCTTTAATTCAATTAGCCAAATATTTATTGAGCACATCATTGTCAGCCAAGCTGAGGATGCTTTAGTGACAAAGATGAACAATAATCCTGCCTTCATAACACTTTTGTTCTAGAGGGGTAAGACAGAGAGCAGATGTTTAAATCAAGAAATAAGACCATTTCAAGTGCTAGGGATATAGCTTAGTAGTAGAGCTCATCCTTTTCCTAAGTTTGGGCCTGGGTTTAATCTCCAGCACCAAAAGAGAAAAATGAAAAAAGAAGAAAGTCATTTCCAGTAGATAATTTGTAAAGGGAAATGAGATAATTTCTCCTAAGAAAACAAAGTCTGATAAGCTAGTGACAGTGAAACTATAGTAATAAAGGAAACTATATGTTTAATAGCTTTACTGAAGTATAGTTGATGTAAAATTTATCGCATATATTTAAAGTGAAAAACTTTAATAAGAAAATATTTAATATGAAAAACTTTGAATAAACATACATCCATGAAATCATTACCCCAATCAAAATAATGACTGCATCTATCATCCCCAAGTTTCTTTATGGAAGGGTAACTTCTAGATAGAATTTCTTTTCAGGAAAATTTGTCTGAAAAGTCAATGTTTGAATTAAGACCTGAATGATAAGAAGGAACCAATCAAGGAAAGAGTGCCAAGCATACAAATGGGACAGCTAATGCTGTTGTCCTGAAATGTGAATGAGCTCACTTTGTTTCCAGGGCAGAAAGCAGATTGCTCTTACTAGAATACACAGCCTGAGTGAGAAGGTAGTACAAGTTGATGCCAGGGAAGCAAACTGATGTCAGAAGATACAGGGCTTTGTAACCAGAATGAGAATTTTGAACTTTATTCTGTACTTACTAGAGAACCATTAGAGGGTGCTAAGCAAGGGAGTAACAAGTGACAAGATCTGATGTACTTTTTGAAAATCACTTGAATTCATATCCAAAATATAAAAGAACACTTATGGCTCAGCAGTAAGAAAACATAAATAAACCAAATAGGCAAAGGATTTAGATGGATATTTCTCTAAGTAATATATACAAATGACCAATAGCACTTGAAAAGCTGCTCAGCATCATTAATCACTAAGGAAATGTAAACCAAAATCATAGTGATATAACCATTTCACACCCACGGGTATTGCTGTAATCAAAAGATGAACAATTACAATATTATGGAAGATTGGAAAAATTAGAACTCTCATAAATTGTGGTGAAATCATAAAGTACTGCAGCAACATTTGAAAACAATTTTGAAGTTACACATACTTATTATGTGACCCAGAAGTTCCACTCGTAGATATATACTCAAGAAACTAGAAAACATATGTTCACATGAAACACATTATGAATATTCTTGGCAGTGTTATTCATAATAGCCCAGTAGCCAATGAATGGATAAATAGAATGTGGTATAGCCATATAATAAAATACTATTTGGCAATAAAAAGGAATGGTTTACTGATAGTGTTACAGCATAGCTATATCATAAAGATATTATAAGTGGAAAAAAAACATGCACTGTCTGATTACATTTATATGGAATGTCCTGAGCATGTAAATATATAGAGGCAGAAGTGGATTTGTGGTTGCCAGGGGCCAGGGGAGATATTAGAAGTGACTGCTAATGGATATGGGGTTTTATTCTGGGATGACGAAAATGTTCTAAAATTAGATTGGGGTGATGTTTGCACAAACTTTGTGAATATACTTAAACACTGAATTGTGTGAATTTTATGGCATGTGAATTATATGGCAATAAAGATGTTACCTAAAAAATCACTTGGGCTGCTCTGTGGAGAATGGATTGTGCAGTGGTTATTGTGAATGAGGAAGAGATGAGGGTGGCTTGGATTAGGATAGTGGTGCTAAGGTAGGGGGAACTAGAAGTAAGGTGATCAGGAAAGTGCCACTCCTCTATATGGTACAAGAAATATATGCCCAGGAGTCAGTATGAGAAATCTGTTGCCAATCCTCTTCATGCCTTATTAAATTATTGCTCTGAGAAGCAGCAAGAGAGGTGCCTTGGAACTGGTACTGCAGTCATTTTTATGTATTTGAGGTCAAAACAGGATAGGCTCTGGTAATTCAAGTTTCATTCAGTAAATAGGTCAATTTTCTCAGTTTCTTGCCTGGAAAATTATGTTGTTTTATTGGAAAATCTCCTAGAGACATTAGGCAATCCTACCGAACCAGAGCTGGGAGTTTGTATCCAGGAATTACTGGGCATGCGTTCCTATCTGACTGCACTCACGCTGATAAGAAGTGACTCACAATGCAGTTGAGGCTTCCAGAGGAGTTTTCTGACTATTCTCTTCTGCATTTCTCTGAAGACCTTAAATTTTTCATGGAAGATGGCCAGAAGGACCAGGCTCAGAAGGCCAATAGACCTTCTTCTATATGATATTTCCAGATAGGTCCTTTGGTTATAATTCCAGCATTTATCATTCCATTGTTCCCTTCAGTAACTATTTTCTCCCTGACCTCATTCTCAGTAGGTCCTAGAGTGGAGCTTTTCATAATAGCAGAGGCTCAGCCATCTTAGTATCCTGGCTGAGGAACAAGTGATGCAATGTGGAAAGAATGTGATTACACAATTCATTTCACAAAACAAGATGTTCTCTGTACATAAGCCTGTTCTTTCTAATCTCCTCCATTCTTTCTGCCTTCTGGTCATTAGTGTTTAAATTGTTTAAAAATTCAAAGTAAGATGAAATATCTGATGCTTATAAGTAGGAAAAAACCCAGTGTTCATTTAATATTTTTTTACACGCTGTTTCATATTATCTTCCTGGTAACTCTGAACTAGGTGCAATTATTTTTAGATACATTTTATTTATGAGAAAACTGAAACTTAGATAATTAAATGTCAACTCTATTGATATGAGTCTAGAGAGAGAGACTCTGGAGATTTCTTCATGGAGCAGCTGTCAGGTCCAGTACAGTTTGAGCTGTATTGCCTTCACCCATCATCCTCATACTCTCCCTGTTCTCCACTGGCCTCTTTTCAGAGCTTCATTTGAGATCCTGGATTTTGGCTCCCAGATCCTGGTAGGAAGTAGAAAAGATGTAGTGTGGTAATATATCAGAGCACTGATCTGGATTCTAGTAGCAGTAGAGCCAACACACTTGTTATATACACGAGAGGCTGAACTTGGTCTTTGAAGGACCTTCTACTTCTGTAATACATGTAGTTTAATGATTTGGGAAATAGGTAGCAAGTGACTTTTGTGACCTTGTCTCCTACTTGATTCTAGATCAATCAGCTCACCTACTACCTAGCTCCATCTAATGAAGGGAGTCCTGCATGCCAGCTGTTCACTGCCTCTCCTTTTCTTCTTTGCTAAACCAGTAGTATCCCTTTAGCTCCTAAACTGATGGGCAGCAGCTATCAAGATTCCAACTAATCCAGGATACTTGGTTATAAAATGAAGAAGCACTTTTTTGGCTCATTTTTGAAAGTTATAATTGAAATAGAAACATGCTCTATTTTTTATTAATGCTTTATAGTTATACATAATATCAAGGTTTATTTTGATATAATCATATAAGCATGGAATGTAATTTGCTCTAATTCAATCCCTAGTATTTTCCCATTTCATTCCTTCCTCTCTTCTCCCATCTTTTTTCTCTACCATCTCTACTGGTCTTCTATTTATTTATATTTTTAAGTAGTGTTTTGTAGATACACATAAAGGTGGACTTCACTGTAGTATATTCATATATGTACATAGGATAGTTTGGTAAGTTTCATTCCACCACTCCTCTTTTTTCCCATCCCTCCTCCTACCCCTCAATCCCTTCCTCTACTCTACTGATCTCTCTTCTATTTTTATGGAAATCTCCTCCATACACCTTTCCACCTCTTATTTTGGTCTAGCTTCTGCATATGGAAGCATTGATTCTCCGAGTCTGGATTATTTCCTTCAGCATGATGTTCTCCAGTTCCATCCATTTACCCACAAATACCATAATTTTATTCTTCTTTATAGCTGAGTTAAACCCCATTGTGTATATATACCACATTCCCTTAATCCATTCATCTGTTTATGGCATCTGGACTG